TGTATGATTGTGTATACAAGAGGGTGCACCATACCTCTCTTTATATAGGACAAAGGGTAGGGGCACGTATCTAGTCCTAGTCGGTTACAATAGAAGAGTCCTAGTCCTATTACAGAATCTAGCTTTCTTGGTAAGCCGACTAAGTTGATCTTGAATAGTTTGAAGACCATGTCACCTTGCCTCTTGTCCTTCAGCAGATCATGGGATAGCCCAGGGCCTAGCCAAGTAGTTGACCCTATGGGAAACCCCTAGGACCCTGGTCCGTCAGGCCCATAGAGCAAGTTGAAGCTGAGAGAATGAGCTATTTTCAGCTTCATCCCACACCAATCCCTTTGTGAGAGCATCACGTTTTAAGGAGCTTCACGTGTGAAGCTATATTAAAAAATAACCGTTTGGCACAAAAGCGAGCTTCAAAAGGCTCATGAAGCCAATAGAGAAGCTGTGCCAAACGAGACTTAACTAGTCCTGAATAACTTGAAGATTAAGTTACCACTAGTGCTATTTGAAGCTCAAACTAGACAATCAAAGTTCTAAAATGGTAGGGTCCCTTTTCATGCATCATGTGTTAATCCTTGGATCAAGAGGGTAACATGGAGCAACTCCACCCAATTGAGTAAAAGTAGTCCCCTTTCTCATCTTGAGCAAAAAAAACGGTGAAAGCTCTAGTTTGGTTTTGATGAATTGATGAAACCCTAAGTGCTAACCTAGTTTATCAAAGTGATTATGAGATATGTAGCACTACTCCAAGTGGTGAAGCAAATGAAGATCATGACATGATGATGGTGTTGCCATGGTGATGATCAAGTGCTTGGACTTGGAAAAGAAGTATAAGAAAAACAAAATGCTCAAGGCAAAGGTATAAGTGGTAGGAGCCTTTTCGTTTCGGTGATCAAGACACTTAGTGAGTGTGATCACATTTAGGTTCGATAGCCGTACTATTAAGAGGGGTGAAACTCGTATCAAAATGCAGTTATCAAAGTGCCACTAGATGCTCTAACTCATTGCATATGCATTTAGGATCTAGTGGAGTGCTAACACCCTTGAAGATGATTGTGAAAATATGCTAACACACATGCACAAAGGTGATACACATTGTGTTTAGCACTTGGAAGCAAGGGTTCGGAACTTCACCGACGCTCTGTACATAAAAGATAGGGTTTCATAGAGTGAAGACTTTGCCCTCAACTAGACCCAAGCGTCTCGTCGATAGAGAAGCGTGAAGATGTTTGGCGTTGGTCCTCGATCGGATCTTGGGGTCATCGCCGTGACCGGACGCCGAGTGAGTGCGTCCGTCCCGCCGACGTGGCAAAGACTGAGAGAAGAAGAGAAAGGACCGGACGCCTGGTGCTGCGTCCGATCATGATCGACCGGACGCGTCGGTCGTAATTTCCACCTCTAGAAGCTTACTGGAAGTGATCGAATGCTGGGGTCCTACGTCCGGTCGGACGTGATCAGACACGTTCGGTCGTGAGTGGAACCTTACTGGAAACGACCGGACGCTGGTGTTGGTGCGTCCGGTCACTTCGAGCAGCGCGTCCGATCACAACTTAAGTGCTCCGATGACCGTTGAGATTGGGTGATCAGCGTTTGAAGCCGATGACACGTGGCAAACATCGGGCGACCGGACGCTGGGGTCCTGCATTCGGTCAAATCTAACCGGCGCGTCCGGTCGCCCTGATTTTTCAGTGAACTGAGGAGCTAATGGCTCTATTTCATGGGGGCTTCAATTTAAGCCCCATGGCCAGCTCAATCTCACTCTCTTGGCCATTTGCATTGACATAGCAACCTTGTGAGCTTAACCAAAGCCTTCCCACTCATCTTCATCATTGATTCATCATCTTTGTGAGATTGGGAGTGAATCCAAGTGCATTGCTTGAGTGTTTGCATCTAGAGACACTTGGTGTTCGTGTTTCGCTGTGGGATTCACTTGTTACTCTTGTTGGTTGCCGCCACCTAGACAGTTTGGAGCAGCGAGGATCGTCGAGCGGAGGTTGGTGATTGTCTCTGGCTCCGATCGTGGTGATTGTGAGGGGTTCTTGACCTTTTCCCAACGGAGAGCCAAAAGGTACTCTACTGAATTGCTCGTGGCTTGTGTGATCCTCATCTTGTGTTGGTTGTGCGGCACCCTATTGAGGGTTTGGCGTGTGATGCCAATTAGTGTGTGAACCTCCAAGTGAGTGAATCGCCACAACGAGGACTAGCTTGTCGGCAAGCAAGTGAACCTCGGTAAAAAAATCGTTGTGTCATATTTGATCCCGAGGTGATTGGTCTTCATTGATATTGATTCTTGTGATTGATTGGTTCATTCCTCGACACGGCGGTATAACCATCTTACTCTCTCTCTCTTTACATTACCGCAAACTAGTTATCAAGCTCTTTAGTTTAGCTAGTTGTGAGAGCTTGTTAGTTTGGTTAGTGTGGCTGTTTAGTTAGTCTTTGAGAGCACACTAACTTAGTGTAGTGACATAGCCATTGTGTGAAAAGAAACTATAGAAACTAGAATTGTGGTAGGTGGCTTGCATTTTAAGTAGGCTAGCGCAACACTTGCTTCACCTCATAATTGTCTAATCGGTTTGTTAAGTGTTGTTGTAGAAATTTTTTAATAAGCTATTCAACCTCCCCCTCTAGCTATTAGGACCTTTCAATAGGGTGGGAGGATTGAAGCAAAAAAAATGCTTCGGCATATCCCCTTTCTTAATCCACTTTTCCTATAATTTTTCTCAACCCCTCAAATGGAGGGGTCCATCACCATTTTTTCTCAATCCCCTTTCACCCTCATCATGTCACTGACGTGTGGTTCCTTGGGATCATGGAGGCCGTCGGGATGGTTGTGTCGTCGTCGTGTTGCCCATGCGGGCCGTCGCACATAGGCTGGCCACGCCGGGCTCGCTGTCGCACCACCATGCTGGCTGGCCGCTCCTTGCCGCTGCTCATTGCCGCGCGACAGAGGGAGAGGATGCCAGAGAGGAAGAAAGAGGAGAGAGAGCCACTGACCTATGGGCCCCATGTGACAGTAGATGGAAAGGGGATGACTTTTGTCAATCTGCTGCAGAGCATCTCCCTTATCCCTTTAGTTTTGTTTTCTCAATCTCCTATACTAGTATTTTAGGGAATGGGAATTCTCAATGTAGTGTGATGCTCTAACAGAATGATAACACAACCATGTGGCATAGAGATATACTATTACCTACCAGTAACAGCCAAATATGACAAACGGTGAGAATAGCGCCTGGACGTCAAGACACGGCGCCCGTCCGGATGCCAGCGCTTGCTGCCCGTCTATTTTCAATAATTGTACCCTCAGGGCACCTATGGATGAAGCTTTCTCCTCGTGCTCCACGCCTGCTGCTTGCCCATGGATGCAGCCACAGTGCTCCGCTTCGCCTCGTGCTCTGCACCTGTTGCCCGCCCATGGATGCATCTTCGTGCTCCGCGCTTACTGTCACGCCAATGGATACAGCTTTGTGCTCCACGCCTGCTGTCGCGCTTCCCGCGTGCACGCGAGGACCACTGCGCCCGAGGGGACCACCTTCGCCTACACCCCCTTGATGCGCCTGCGCATGGAACACTTGCAACATAAAGCATTTGCCGCAACATACGTCCGAAATAGATGAAACATTTACAACATACGCTCGCAACATATGTGTATAGGCATTGCAACATATGCAAGATCCAGATAAAACAGTTGCAACATACGTTTGAAACAACTGAAACATTTGAAACATACCTTGCAACATATACATGTATAGTCAGTGCAACATATGCAACATCTAGATAAAACACTTACAACATACGTTTGAAACAGCTGAAACATTTTCAACATACACTTGCAACATACGTGTATAGTCATTGCAACATATGCAACACCAGATCTATTTTTACAACATCCAGATGAAACATATGCAGCATACATCTGAAACGCATGAAACACACGGTTGCAACATGTACTCATCTACTTGCTGCCCCCAATGGATGCTCGTTGATGCGGAGCTTGACGCCGGCAAGGAGCTCTAGGTCACCCAGGTCAACAGGCAGATGGATCGTGGCTGCAACGAGAGGCGCGAGATGCGTGCTTCTACACTTCTGCTCCTAGGGCCCGTTTTTTTTAGATGCAAATTATTGGATATCTTGAAGTCAAACACCTTTGCTCTTAGGGCCTTTTTTTATATATTTTTTAGGCACAAATTATTGGATATCTTGAAGTCGGTTACTTTGGATATCTTGAAGTACGCCTCTGCATTCTCCTTGTAAAAGGTTGACTTTGCAAGCTTTCACAAAATACAGCTACAATATATATACAGGTTAATTACTGATAGCAAGTAAACAGTGCTGGTAAATTGGCATTGTGCCCCCACTGCCCCCCCCCCCCCACACACACACACACGCTGCTGCTGCTGCCACACACCCACCCACCCACCCACAAACCATGCAGGGCAATCGAGTTCCCGCAACAGATTCAGCTATTACACAGAAGTGGAATAATGCCAGTACAGAATGGAATAATACAGGCACATGTAGTCTGAGGTTCAGAACAAGGCTTAGTTGAAAAAACAACCCAATATAACAGAAATTACTAGTAACATAGGAAAATCTGAAGCTATGCTCAGAAATATAAGCAAGTACAAAGCAAAAATTAGCTCAACCGGTCACTTGGATGATATCAAATTCACAAGTGTGCATCAACACATGGTAATGGAGCCACTGAGGGCCATAGAAAGGAATAGCTACAAAAACTCTCGTCTCACATAGAACTAGTAGGACACAGATGCCGAATCCAGTTGCCTGTAACTTAGATGATGCCGATTTTGTTGGCCACATCAAGAGCATCATAGTCAGGCGTCAGCTTCACATAAGCCTTCTTCTTCCCATCAGGCCTGCACAGACAAAGTAAGAATCACTCATTCACTCACAGTTGCACAAAATAACGAATTATGCAGAAAAAACTAACACTGGAGCAAAGTGCTAACCTGATCAGGGTGTTGACCTTCTTTGCCTGAATGTCATACATCTTCTTGACAGCGGCCTTGATCTTCTTCTTCTTGTCTGCCTTGAGGTTCCACGATGAAGACCAGAGTGTTGTTATCTTCAATCTTCTTCATTGCCGATTCTGTGGTGAGGGGGTACTTGAGGATTTGGTACTGATCAAGCTTGTTTCTTCCAGTGGTGCTGATTCTTGGGTACTTCGGGTCCCTGGCCTTCTTCAGGGTCTTGGGGCGGTGAAATGTCACAGACGTGCGGATCTTCTTGGTCTTCTTCTTGCCTGCCCCAGACTTCACAGCCTTGGCAACCTTCAAGGCCTGGGCCTTGGCATCAGCCTTCTTGGCAGGAGCGGCTAATCAAACAATGCAATTAGATAAAATAGTCAGGTTCATGCATACTTACAGTAAGCCTATTAGATAGAAATAGTTCATGAAGTTTAGCATGGTGATTACTGATTATGCACAACAATAGACAGACTACCAATGTATTGATAAGATTGCATTAGAGATCCCATCTGTATTCAAGAGACAATGCAGTAATTAGAGTTTGCTAATTCTATACTCTCCCTTTTGAGATGATTCCAATGTTCTGGTCAAGGCATGAGTAACAGGTAGTGGTTAAATCAGAGTGCTAAATGTACAAATGCCAACTACACCTGACACAATTCAACAATGGCAACACACATGCAAAGGAAACAGGAACTGCATAACACTGAGCACTCAATTTACAGCGATTTAAAGGTTGACACAGGGCATTTATTGATCAAGTGTGGCACACATAGAAATATGCAATATTAGGCGTGTACCTTTAGGAGCCATTTGAGCTTCTCAAAACTCCCTCCTGAATTGCAAACAGAGAAAGATCATTATGTCAGGCGGCTGAAGATGCAAAGTAGAAGACACAATCATGAGAACTGGAATAGTGGAATGAATTACAGAAGGATCTTGTCGTCCAACATGAAAGCTACTTATTGACAACAATTCCCAGTCTAGTGTTGACCCAAAGTTAGCACCAAAAACAGAATCCTAGAAACACCATTACTAAATCTACCTCATGCCCAAATCAACCATGGCTAATAGACAGCATCCCTACATATCATGACCCCATACTATCGCGTACTAAGGTCAAAGAGACTCGTCGCAAAACCTTCTCAATATTAACAGCAAAATTTATCGATAAGAACATATACACGAAATCTACGAGTCTGAAGAGAGACTGACGCCCGAGCTACACCTCGCGAGACAACTCCCGCCGGCAAACCGACCGAAAACAAGCGCGCACAGAGCAGATCCAATCGCTTCCACGAAGCGACCGAGCCAGCGCTACCCAGCACGACGACCGGACGAAATGGGGCGGGAGGAGGGCGGCGGCGGTGCGTGGCTTACCTTACCTCTCCTGGCGGCGGTCTGAGACGGACGCGAAGCGATGACGGCTGGGAGGAAACCCTAGTAGCCCCGGGGCAGAGGTTTAGAATGCGCGCTGGGTCATGATAGCCGTCGGCTGGATGGGCCGTTTATGGACCGGCCCACTTAGATTTGAGACGGGCGAAAGGTCGCATCGGTTCGGTTATGTGCCCACGGCCAGTTTGAGGACAGAAAGGGCCGCCTATCGGAGCCAATCATTCGGTCAGAGCAACCTGCCTGCCCCCAGTTAGATTTTTGTTGGGCTGTGGACTTGTGGGCCGTCACCGTCAGGTGCGTTTTTTATTTATTAACACCAGAATGATTTGCCTTCCTGTACAGCTGGGGTATTCGGGATGCTCAGAAAACAGGGCAGCTGAGCTAGATACAAGTGATGGAGGCAGACGCCTTCCTACCACTTCTCTGGGGTGATGAAGAGGTAATAGTAGGATTATCCCTGCTGTAATTATTTCCTCGAGGGAGTTATGACAATTCAGTGCTAAAATCTCTTGATATGAATAGACTGCTAAGGCCTAATTACCATTTTCATTAATAAAATTCCTCCAAATTTTTTGTATAGCCGCTACGAAATTCAGAGGTGAATGAGATGGGAATATCAACAATGGCCTAATTAATTGCTTTGTTAATTCATTTGTTTTTATTTTTCAGTTTGCCTAACACTTTACTTCACAACGTGCTTTCCATCAATAGCTTGAAATAGATATGTGACAAATTCATGTTTTTGATTTTTATGGCAATTTCTACATGTAAGGAATTTGATTTAAGAGTATGGTAACCAAAACAGCATATGTAAATACACATGATCCTTGAAATTCTCTGAATGCTTCCTTTACCTACATTTTTCTTATATCCAAATAATACCTGACTATGCTATAAAGAGCTAAAATATCGAGGTCATATGATCTGAAGTAGTATCTGATGTTGATACGTCCATTCATGGTCTTCAGTGTTCTTTGAATATTATTTTTACATTGATACTTGAGCCAAATACATGACAAAATACCTAACAATATGAGCATTGTTCGAACACTATAGAAGCTACTTCATATACATTCTAGCTTCGTAACAAAGAGAGATGTCTGGGCTGCAACATTGAGAACAACATTCATATCCACAAAACACCAAGAACTGTCAGCCTACGTATGTATTTATATTAAGGTGGTTTAGTATATGTAGTAGTGCATTTTTTATTTATATACAGAGTCCGCACCTATACCTATTCAATCATTTGTCAGTCTATTATTTTAAAACGAAACATGTTCCTGTCCCCGTAGCATCTAGCAAAAATAAAAGACATTTAAATCACCGTTCCTCGAACTTCCAAATGCATGTTCCCCATTTTGTCTTCTTAGAGCAAGTGCAATGATACAGCCTGCTGCCGGCGAAATAAACTCCAGCCTGGCTTCCATTAAATGCAGCAGCGGCAGCCAGCAGCACGTTGCACCTAATGCGGAGCCTGCGCAGCAGCAGAGCAGCCAGTAAAAACGCAGCACACGCGTATCCACCCACTCCAAGCCGACGTTTTGCGAGACGCCCGCTCCGCACTCTCTCTCCTGTTCTCTCTCTGCCAGCAGGGATTCCGCCGGCTTGCAGCCAGCCATAATACTTGCTCCTATTAGTGGCTTGGATTTAATTTGCTCCAACCATATTTGTTGTGTATGCCTCACAATTGTATACTTCGCTATTGGAAGAGAAGAGTTGAAGTTAACATCGAGGGTTTTCCCAGCAACATACTCTTTGAATCGAACGGTTCCTTTCAATTTCAAATTTATCAGCGGCCATTTCCTCTGTCTTTTATAACATGCTTGTACTCTTCTACTGCAGATACCTTGGTTGGCTATTCCCATGTTAGTTGTTAAAAAATAGCTCCCTGTGTAAGAGTCTGTGCTTGCGACTTAATGGATGAGACCTGAACCGATCCATATTCGTATTGTGAGTTCCCTCGATCCGATAGCTAGCGGGTTAATGGGCGACAAGGACATCAGGTACACCTGAGTTTTGGCTCAGGATTAGTATTACAGAGATATTTACAAGGCCGTTTCATATCCAATAAATGTGACGATGATCTATCAAAGTACAATCGGCTACTACATCCACTAATGTTTTTCCATGACGAATTACCTAATATCAGTTCTATTACAGTGGTCAAGTTCACAAAATATGCACCAATGGTTCATAAAAAAGAAGCAACCAACGAGATCAGAGAAATGCTAATACATGACCCAACTAGCTTGAAATGGTAGGCACTCTACGCCGCAACGCCGCGCGTTGCTTTCTAGTTCTATGCTAAATTCTATTTTCCTTCCCAGCTGTGACAAAAATTTCAAATAATTACATTTGAACAAGTGTTAAGGAATGGCATACATTTCTAAGCTGTGATCAGGGGAGCCAAACTACGGCATCACCTAGGTCTTGGCACTTGGAGCCCTTCGATTCTCGAGTCCTCTATTGTCTATTATCTTTACACTGTTGCATCATATTTTCTTGGTTATTTTTAATCTAAATTGGAATCAGTTTCGAAGATTATTTCAGAGTAGAAAGCTCTTGACATGCTCCAGCGAGGTAATGACCTTGCTGATCTCAACGAATATGCTCAGCTATTTTCCAAGGAAGAACAAGCAGCCAATTGGAGTCAATTTACAGGTTTCAGCAAGGAGCTGACAGCTAGCTCCCGACACAGGACATTTTTCAGAACTTCAATACAGATTTAAATCTGAATCCCACTTGAAGAAAGAACATGTCATAAGTTGTCATGAAAGCACAAGCTCAACTATTGATTCATGGAAAGAAAACAATTGACATTTAGAAATACAGTTTTTCTCAGGGTTTCATGACATTTAGAAATAGGCACATAGCTGTCTCTCAGCATCGGGTAGGTCCAACATTATACTTCTCTTGGAGAGAACTAAACCTTCTTCCAGGCAGACCCGGAGTATACAATTCTTCCAAGCAGATCCGGTTGGATCAATGTGCCTTGGGAATGCCTCTACCATTACCAACATTACAACTGATGTCCTATTAGGAAGATAAGATGTGGCATGTCTACATGACAGTTAATTGCACATATTACATTTAAAACTATACAAGTTTCCTCCAAAGAGATTACCTGTCCAGCACATCTGTTTTTTCTCTAGCCTAAATAAGACTTTTGGGTTCTAAACTTTTGATGTAACCACAAGCCTTCAATTTGAAATGATTCCATACATGCAACACATTAGCAAAATATGGAAGATAACTTTTATTTGATTGACATAAATAAACACACGGCCAAAGAAACTAAATTCACAGTAAATAATTGCTCATTAACACAGCCACGAAAAAAACATGCTAATCATAAAACTTATCACCAAAAATCAAAATTGTTCCAAGTTGCGCATAAGCATTCATTAATATAACTAGCATCCATAAAGGTACACTACTACACTACATAAATATCCAAACAGGTTTGCAGTACTAATTAGACAAAAGCATGAGAAGGCATACATCCAATGTCTCAACAGGCTTGCACTACTAATTAAGAAGGCATACATCCAAGCACAACCAGAACATTTCACCTGAGTCTACTGGAATTTAACCAAGCTGCTAGCTCATACTTAGAGCACACACTTTCAGTACTTATTTGTGAGATCTGATGATTCTGAGAAATAGGAACGCATGTGAGCAAAAAATCACACGGGTCTTTGCGATCTTTGAAAGTGGCAATGACACTCACTTCCTTACGGTCCATGTCGTATGTTGTCAGCTTACAAGACTCCTGAAGAAAGAAAACCACATTACAGTCTTGATGAATGTCAACCACTTGAAACTCGTTCAAGTCTTCTGTTTCTCCAAAGACATCAAAAGAGTCCAAGTCCATAGTGTTCTTCAACACCCATTCCTGTGTATCATAATTCTGAAGAACCCAGATGGATAGTTTGTCATTATTTTCATCAGCAGACTCTATAGTCACGCAATGTAGGTGCCCTTGGGATTGACCTAAATAACATGTAATGTTGTGCGTTTGGTTCCCATCAGCCATACCTGGCACAGTGATCATCCTTCTTGCCTCCCCTTGTATATCTACAAGTATGTGCTGTCTATCTGGGCCCCAAACTATCAAATGTAGGAAGCCATTAACAAAGGCGCAACGAAAGTCGAGAACCTCTAGTGTGAACTGATGATGCCAGCCTTCCAACTGTCCTTGCTCTTTTTGTTCATCAATTTGGTTTTGGCTCCAGGTCCCATTTTCAGACGAGTAAACATGCAACGACACTATCTCCATGTCCACATCGGGCATCTGGAACTGGACCAAGTGAAAGTGAGAGGATACCGCCGGATCAAAAGCCAAATAGGTGTGACTTAGCGCTTCACGAGAGCCGCAAGCGGGCACGGCTGACCATTGCTTTGTGGTCGGGTTGCACACCATATAGGTACCCGCCGATAGGTAAGACGGCTCCTGACGGTGCCCGAAAAGGATAAGCCCGTTGCAGGAATCCAAGAAGAAGAAGGTCTTGATCCCAGTCCGTTCCATCAGGAAGGAGAAGGAAGGGTCGATGTCCATAGGCACGGATCTCACTGTCAGGTCGATGAAACTGAAACTGATACTGGCCAATTTAGTGTCATCAACCTCGGAGTCGGCCGTCTCGACGAACAGTCCTTGCATGGCTTGGGGCAGCTTCTTACGGTTGTCAGGGTCGGTGATGAGGTCGTGCCAGGCCTTGGACACGCACTTGAACCGGCAGACGGACTTGGCCGGGACGCGGGAGAGGATCTCTATCAGGGGGTCGTCAGGGAGGCCGGGCACAGTGCCGTCGCTCTTCTTGGAGCAGCCCTCCATGCTTCCCTCCGAGAGCTATCTGTGTGAAAAGCAGGGACCGAGCCAGATGTAGGTGTGAGGGGATGTGAGTGGGAAAATGCAACAATGGGGAGGAAAAGGGGGCTTACCAGATACCGGAGATGGCCGTGATCGAGGGCGCCGGCGCAAGGCGGTGCCGAGGATGATGATCGAATGGGGATTTGGGGGATTTCTAAACCCGTCGTCAGCTCATTGTCCATGGAGTGGAGAGGCTGGCTGTGGCCGGAGCGAGCAAATGAGCCCTCGGTGCCCTCCATGCCTCCCTCCGTGAGCAATATGTGAAAAGCGGGGACCGAGCGAGATGGAGGTGTGAGGGGATGTGACAGAAAAAAAATGCAACAATGGTGAGGCAAAGGGGCTTACCAGACACCGGAGATGACCGTGATCGACGGCGCCGGCACAGGGCGGTGCCGAGGCTGAAGATCGAATTCGATTGATTTGGGGGATTTCTAAACCCTAGAACCGCCCGCACGTGAGCACGTCCGCCCAGTGTCTGTGGATCGGAGAGGCTGGTTGCGGCCGGAGCGAGCAAATAAGCTCTCGGTGGAGTGCGGACAAATGAGGCTGGCTGGCTGGCTTCCTTTTTTTTTTTTTTTTTTTTTTTTTTTTTTTTTTTTTGAGAAACGGCTGGCTGGCTTCATGTAAAAGTAGTTTTGAGTCGGGCCAAAATAATGTAAAGAGAGGCAGGCTTCAACCTCTACCAAAATCTAACATGAGAAGAGTTTGTAAAGAGATACTTGACAGAATATCCCCCAAAATATTATCCATGAATAAGAATACATGGAAATTTTACCATTATAACTATTATTTATACCTTATTATTATTTAGTGGTTGGATATTTTATTGGGTTTAATATCTAGCGTATCTCAACTGCTTCGAACTAAAAAGCTTTGTTGTTGTATCTACCCATGCTGATAACTAAATATCCTACTGAACTCATTTCCTTTCAACTCATTCACCATTTGGTAAGGAAACTTATTTCAATTACCAAAACAAAACAAAACAAAACATTCAAGGCAAAATATGGCAGAGTTGTCATCTAGCATGATTTTCAATTATTGGCATGTTGTCACACCATGATGCACGGTACCAACATCAATACAATCTTCTCAACTACTGATCGTGATAAAGACAGGATATAAGAGTAATTTGGCAATCTTCTCAACTACTGATCCTGAATTCCTGATAAAGACTTTATTTATTGACAGGGCAGTGGAATTATACATTTTTTTATTTTCTCTGTTCTATAAATTAGCTAAAGAATGTAAGTGCCCTGCAGATTCAGTCCATTTGTCTTGAGGTGGGATCCAAAAACCCCAATTCATTTGTTTGCCAGATGAAATAGTTAAATGCATGTATACATCCGATGCTTGAATTCATGCCCATATATGGCAAGTGTTAGAAAAGTGAGCATAACAATACACGTGATGCTTGTACAATTGTACCTACAACTGAAGGTCCTTTCACTAGTCATTTTATTGATTAGTCAGTTGCTTGATGACATTTACATTAAGATCTAGCAATCGGTACTACTACAAAGTAGTTTCTGTTACAAACATGCAGTTACCGGAAGGTTGTACTCAGCAATATTTAAGTACAGTTTGAAATCCATGATAACGGGCATATACTCACAATTGGATAGAAGATCGTAATGTGAAGATCAGGGATCTTCTTAAAGCGCTGCAATAACTTCACAATGCCCCAATTGTACTGATGTTCAGTCAACCCATACCATGCACCTGCAAAGGAGGTCGCCAGGACCCGTAGCTGCGCCAGCTCACCCAGCTGGACCCACCTCGGATCATATTCATCAAGGCACCCGAACCTTTCCAGAACCGGAGCAGTGATGTCAGCCACTGGAGCAGTGATGCCAGCCACTGGTTGCCTCTTGAAGAAGCAATTAAAGATATGCAGATCTCTCAGCATTGGCGACACAACCGTGAGATGCTGTAACCCTTTCAGGTTATGCAAAAACATACTGACGAGAAACTCTGAACAGATACCAAGATTCGACACCCCTTGAGCGTCGAAGAGATGGAGTAGTTGCAGCGAAGGGCAGCGGGCCGACGACAAGGTATCGCCGATGTCCAAGGCGCCTTGGAACCGTGGCTCAGAACTAGCACAGTAAGCTTCGTGAACACACCCGACGGTGGAAGTGCGAGGTGAAGGTAACCTAAGTGGACGAAAAGCTGTACGGCCCCGTCGAAGCAGGGCAGCTCAATGGCTTCCCTTGCCAGGACCTTCTTCCGATCCTCAGGTACCTCGTTGCGGAAAAAGAGCGCGTTGGTGAGGCGGGGCGCGGCGAGGCGGAGTACCGCGGCCGTGTCCGCAGGGTCGGCGTCGTTGGCGACGACGCTCAGCATCCACAGCGAGGGGGGCGAGTGTTGGGCGAGCGCCGCGCGCGCGGAGGCAGGCGAGGGCAGCGCGCGGGCTGGTTCGGCGGGGAGCGGGGAACGCAGCGCTGGCAAATGCGTCAAGAGGCGGCGCCAGCGGTGGGAGCGAACCCTGGACCGCGCGGCGGTAGCGGGCGAGGGCAGCGCGAGGGCCGGTTCGGCAGGCGGCGGGAACAACAGCACCGGGAGCTGCGCCCAGAGGCGGCGCCAGCGGCGGGAGAGGACGCTGGTCCGCGCGGCGGCGGCGGCGGACGGGAGGTGGCTGAGGATGAAGAGGAGGACGTCGTCGGGTAGCGCGCTGAGGCGGTCCTCCCCCTCGCCGCGGCCACCACCTTCGTCACCGCCGCCGGCGAGATCTGGGGGAGGGAGGGTTGGGGGCGTGCGGCGGTTTCCCCCGGATATGCAGAGCGCCGACCGGAATTCCTCCCAAATGTCACACATCGTCAATTCAACGCCGCCGGCGAGATCTGGGGGAGGGAGGGTTGTGTTGGGTCTCTCCCGGCGTTCGAGATTTCTGTGTTGGTCGCCGACGAAATCTGAGTGTTGGGGGTTTTTGGTTTTGAACGGAGGCCAGCCAGTTCGCCACCAGTACACAAGAGCTCAGAGAGTATTTCTCGTCGGAAAAAAAAAAGATCTCATTTCCAGGCTGGGCTGTACTGGAAAAAGGCCAGATCATTTTGGTGTAAAACCAACTCGCCTGGCCCAACTTAACTCAACTCACAACTGACAAAAATCTTAGCTTCTTAAAGCACTGCAATAGTTTAAAAAACAATTTGTAAATCAATAAGTTTCCTGACTGGCTAAAAAATTTAGAAGCACATTTGCTGGGTTCTTTTTCAGTGATTTCAAGACCTGTGGAGCAGAAAATTAGGGGAAGGAAGCAAACCTAATATAATGGTCTGCTGCAATCACACTGTAACATCGATATCGATAAGAATAAGATCATCCACAGCCAAACTGAGTCATGAATAACCACAACAAGATCGCACATGTTGGTAGTTGCTGACTTGCTGCGGCAACAGCCCTGCAAGGTTTCTTAAACTAGCTTCATTACCATGATATATTATGGAAAATGGCATACGCAGTATTGCTAAAAAAAGTTTTTCGTGCTCATGGAACCCAACTTAAGAGTCCCTCAGTTGTACCTGCACTGTTGAAATTCTGAAACAGATCTGTTCTTTTGTGTCGCTTATTCTCACATCTCATTGCTTATTTATATGCAGCCAATCTAGTACACTTCTCTGTTCAGTTTCTGGAATATAGAAACCAGCTGGAAATCATCTTCTAACGAATAGTCAGGGTAAAAATCTTGTTTCATTCAGAGTCCCATAACAACTCTTCAGTGCAACACAGTATCCATACAAACATCCTAGACAAGTGGCCGTATGGCTCCAGAATTCACGAATCACGATAAGTTCCTTTTGAAGCTCTTAAACAGAAGTTAATCCCTGAATAATTTACTAAGGTTAAATTAGCAAATGCAATCACAGACTAAACAAGGCACACCAGGGAAGTAGCAATTAGTGCATGTCATAGGGAAGCTTTGTTTTATCACGAGCCACATAGCCCACACTTGAACAGAGGTAAAGCTGTTGGATACCCACTAAGCTACAGCCATGGCTCTTTCTCAGCAAGACACGTCCCTTTAAGCTCCCCTAGCCTACTAGTACCTTGTCCTTCACCGCGTTACGATATAGGTAAAACTCCATGCAAGTCTCTGGCCTAGAGAGGTCATGTAGCACCAACCCCCTGCATCCAGATTCGGTTGCAGCAAGACCCCACCAACCAGGCACAGTGTGTCGTTAGCTTCAGACCCGTCGGGGGTGACTAGTGGGTGGTCTGCCATGGAAAGTCGGAGCTGCTGGCAGCTCGGCTTCCATGATCCGCAACGATGACCCATGGCAGTGTGTCGTGTTTGTGCTCTGCTGCGTCGCGTGGGGTGGTTAGCCCCTCGGGTGCCTTTCTGGCATCTCGTCCGGCTAACCTTCTTATACATAATATTCTTTCGGCTTAATTGAGCGGCAGAGCTCCTGCCTTTGTTTCAAAAAAAAAGAGAGAGGTCATGTAGCTCCTTTCAAAGCTCCTCATCGACAGTGACCGAAGGATCAAAATTTATAGTAACTATTTTGAGCACTGGTGTCCATCCCAATAGTTGTTTCACAAATGCAAGATCATGATCTGCACCGCTCAATCCACAAATATGCAACTCCTGGAGAGAATTCAAGCAGAGCTCTTCAGTTTTCCAGTCTTGCGGATGATGACAAATACAACCCAGCGAACAAGCAGTTTGTTCCTGAGATGAGGAGCATAGACATAAGATGGGCTAACTTCTCAACAAACTTGTCAATGGCTATTGACAATAAGAAAAGCATAAGAAAGCAGAAATCATTTCGATTTACGGTCATTTTGAAAGTGGAATTCTGAACAACATATGCAAAATTTGCATAAGAGCGGGATATCCTTTGGTGTTAGTCAATTGCAGCAATGAATTCATGCCATGTATAGACAGAATTGCAGAAAACAAATTTTCCACAAAATTACACAAATATATGCCAATTGCAAATTGCATATACAGTATACTCACATTTGGATAGATGATCGTAATGAAAAGAGCAGGGATCTTCCAAAAGCGCCGCAATAACATCACAATGCCCCATTTGTACTGACACTCAGGCAATGCATCTGCAAAGCATAAGGTTGACAGTATCCGTAGCTGTGCCAGCTCACCAAGCTGGACCGAGCTTGGATCATATCCATCAGCCCAATCGATCGTTTGCAGACTAGGAGCAACGATGTCAACCACTGGCTGCCTCTCGAAGAAGCATTTAAAGATTCGTAGGTCTATCAACATTGGAGGCACGACAGTGAGCAGCTGCAACCCTTCCACAGTATACAAATGCAAACTTAGAGGGTGTTAGGTTTCTCCTCCTAAACTTTAGTCGTTGTCCCATCGGATGTTTGGACAATTACATGGAGTATTAAATATAGACTAATTACGAAACTAATTGCACAGGTTGCGACTAATTTGCGAGATGAATCTTTTAAGCCTAATTAGTCCATGATTTGACAATGTGATGCTATAGTAAACATGTGCTAATGGCGGGTTAATTAGGCTTAATAAATTCGTCTCGTGGAGTACTGACGGATTATGTAATATATTTTTTTATTAATATCCGAACACCACATGTGACATCTCCTAAATTTTAGTCACCGGATCCAAACACCCCCTTAGGAGAGCCTCGGAAGATAGTGAGTTTGGACACCCCTTGAGTGTCGCAGGCGCCGGGGAACTGGACATAGGCTAGTGCCAACATTGTACTTCTCTAGGAGAGAACTAACCTTTCTTTCAGGCAGATCCGGTTGGATCAAAGTTCCTTGTGAATGCCTCTAGCAACACTACAACTGATGTTCTATTAGGAAGATAAGATGTGGCATGTCCATATGACAATTAATTGCACATAACACATTTGAAACTGTGTAAGTTTCCTCCAAAGAGATTACCTCTCAAGCATAAATAAGACTTTTTGGTTCTAAACTTTTGATGTAACTGCAAGCCTTCAATTTGAAACAATTCCATACATGCAACATTAGCAAAATATGGAAGATAATTTTGGTTTGACTGACATAAATAAACACACGGCCAAAGAAACTAAATTCACAGTAAATAATTGCTCATTAACACAGCCACGAAAAAACATGCTAATCATAAAACTTATCACCAAAAATCGAAATTGTTCAACTTGTGCAACAACATTCATTAATATAACTAGCATCCATAAAGGTACACTACATAAATGTCTCAATAGGCTTTCAGTACTAATAAGATCAAAATCATGAGAAGGCATACATCCAATGTCTCAACAGGCTTGCAGTACTAATTAAGAAGGCATACATCCAAGCACAAGCATAACATTTCACCTGAGTCTATTGGAATTTAACCAAGATGCTAGCTCATACTTAGAGCACACATTTTCAGTGCTTATTTGTGAGATCCGGTGATTCTAAGAAATAGGGAACGTAACGAGCAAAATCGCACTGGTCTTTGTCATTTTTGAAAGTCGCAATGACACTCGCTTCCTTACAGTCCATGTCGTATGCTGTCAGCTTACAGTAGTCATGAAGAAAGAAAACCACATTACAGTCTTGATGAATGTCAACCACTTGAAACTCTAAGAAGCGTCCTGTTTCTCCAAAGACATCCAAAGAGTTCACTGTGTTCTTCAACACCCATTCATGTGTATCATAATCCTGAAGAACCCCGGTGGATAGTTTTTCGTTCTTTTTAGTCACACAATGTAGGTGCCCTTGGGACTGACCTAAATAACAAACAAAAGCGTGCCCGGGCCTCCCATCAGCCATACCCGGCACAGGGATCATCCTTCTTGCCTTCCCTTTACCATCTACAACAAGTATGTGCTGTAGATCTGAGTGACTAACAATCACATGTAGCAAGCCATTAACAAAGGCACAAAGATGGTTGAGAGTCTCCCTGTCTAGTGTAAACTGATGATGCCAGCCTTCCAACTGCCCTTGCTCTTTTTGTTCATCAATTTGGTTTTGACTCCAGGTCCCAGTTTCAGATGAGCAAACATGCAACGCCACTATCTCCTCGTACAGATCGGGCATCTAGAATTGGACCAAGTGAAAGTGAGAGGACAAGGCCGGAGCGAAAGCCAAATAGGTGTAGACGACTGACCATTGCTTTGTGGTTGGGTCGCACACGGTATAGTAAAGGGGATCAGATGGCTCCTGACGATGCCCGAAAAGGATAAGCCCGTTGCAGGAATCCAAGATGAAGGTCTTGATCCCAGTCATTTCCGTCAGGTCTATGAAACTGAAACTGATATGCTCCAATACATCCGATTCATCATCGTCAACCTCGGAGACCTCGGACGTCTCGACGAACAGTCCTTGCATGGCTTGGGGCAGCTTCTTACGGTTGTCAGGGTCGACGATGAGGTCGCGCCAGGCCTTGGACACGCACTTGAAGCGGCAGATGGACTTGGCAGGGACACGGGAGAGGATCTCCACCAGGGGTCGTCAGGGAGACCGGACACCGCGCCGCCGCTCGTCTTGGAGCAGCCCTCCATGCCTCCCCCGAGAGCAATCTCTGTGAAAAGCAGGGACCGAGCGAGATGGAGGTGTGAGGGGATGCTGAGGGAAAATGCAGCAATGGGGAGGCAAAGGGAGCTTACCAGGAGATCGCCATGGTCGACGGCGCCGGCGCAGGGCGATGCCGAGGCTGAAGATCGAATTCGAATCGAATGGAGGATTTGGGGATTTGTAAAGAGCTTTCTATCTGTATGACATTATAAAAGACGGTCCTGACATGCCATTAACAAGTTCAAACACACCTAGGTGCTACTGTAAATAACTTTTTTTTTCCTTCCACGCTACTCCGTCCAATTTTTGCCTCTAACGCTGTCAAACAAATGACCATTTTGGCCTATAGCGGAGGCCGTTTGTCAGCCACCGAACCTTCCTCTTTCTGTTCTCTTCCCTATAGCCGATGCTGGCCGCACCATCGCGCCCACGACGCCGGCCGGGGCCGCGCCCTCACCGGCCGCCATGCGAGCTCCGGCAGGCCCCGCCACCCCAAGCCCGACGCGCCCCTCCCCCGGCCGTTACCCGCATTCTCACCATGGCCGCGTGCGCCCCCGGCCTAGGAGGAGCTCCAAACGGCGTACGCCCCCGGAGCGGGCATCCACCGAGGACACCGGCCATCTTCTTCCCCCGCTCGATCCCGGTTCGGCCAAGGTCGCGTGCGCCCCTTCCCCGGACGCGCCCCACCCCACCATGGCCGCTCCACCACCTGCATGCGGGAGCACCCCCGCCACCAGCGCTCCCCAGCATACGTGCGGGAGGGGGACCATGTTCCTGTGGGCGCTCTTCCTGGTGGCCATGACGGCCACGTACCTGAGCGTCCACTCCTTCGTCGACACCTCCTCCCGCTACTTCGCGGCGTCCTGGGGCGGGCTGCACTGGGAGCGCCAGATCCGAGCGTCGGCATCACCGCGGCGGCCCCCCGGGTCCGCAGAGGGCGCCGGGCTGTCCGTGCTCGTCACGGGCGCCGCTGGCTTCGTGGGCATGCATTGCTTGCTAGCGCTCTGCAAGCGCGGCGACGGCGTCGTGGGCATCGACAACTTCAACTCCTACTACAACCCGTCCCTCAAGAAGGCCCGCCGCGCACTGCTGGGCTCCCACGGCGTGTTCGTCGTGGAGGGCAACATCAACGACGGCCGCCTCCTGGCCAAGCTCTTCGACGTCATGCCCTTCACCCACGTGCTCCACCTCGCAGCGCAGGCCGGCGTGCGCTACGCCACGGAGAACCCGGCGTTGTACGTGCACTCCAACATCGCCGGCCTCGTCTCCCTCCTCGAGGCCTGCAAGGGCGCCGACCCGCAGCCGGCCGTCGTGTGGGTGTCCTCCTCCTCCATCTACGGACTCAACAACCGCGTCCCCCCGCGCTCGCGCACCACGGCGAGGCTCCGGCTCCGGCTCCGGCTCTGGCCACGGCTGTGTCCGCCCCGCGCCTAGTGGCCGGCCTCCTCCGTGGCCCCCACCGTCGCTGGCCTGGCGCCCCAGGCCCGCGTGCACCCAGGCCTACCCCGCGGCGGACGCGCCCTACTTTGGCCGGCCCTGCGAGGAGACTGTGCCCACAAGCAGCACGGGCGCGGCTGCGGGCGCCGTCAGAGGCTGCGGCGCCGTCGGAGAGAGTAGGGAGCGGGAGCGGGTCAGCATCGGGGCATGTCCGCGGTGCGAGGGCCTGCGCAGAGGCGGCGGCGAGCGCGTCCAGGGCGTGATGAGCTGCTCCTCGGTGGCGCGGTCCTCGCCGTAGGTCTTCTCGACGCCGCCCGCGACGGTGGCCGCGTCGTCCATGTCCAGCACGCACGGCGCGTCGCTGCCGCGTATCCTCTTGAGCGTGCTCTCCGTCTCGCCCTTCGCTGAGATCGAAGCCGAAGCCGTCGAAACCCACCTCCTGCCGGTGCACCACAACCAGGTCGCCGTGGCCACTGGTCCTCCCTGCCGCTGCCACTGCCGTGGAGAATGTGGTGGTGGCCATGGGAGCAGGGAGGTTGACCGCGAAGTTACCGGGAGGAAGCGGACGTGAAGGGACCAGGCCACCGCGGGCGGCGCGGGCGAGCTCAGCACGAGGGAGGGCAGCGGCGCGACGAGCGCGGATGCAAGGCGGACGGGAAGAAGCGGCCCGTGGCGCAGAGCTACGGCGCGGACGTGCAGAGAGACGGGGAGATTGGGGTATTTTGGACATCTTCGTTGGCCAGGTCCGTGTCAGGACCGGTAAACAGCGTAAACCAGACGGAATGGCGTTGAAGAAAAAAAATAGTACAATGGCATGTAGATGTATTCAAATTTGTTAGTGGTCTAAAGATAAGGATCATCTTTTATAATGACACATAGATAAAAGACTCATTTCTAGACCCTAGAGCTGCCGGCACCTGAGGTCATCAGCTCGGTGTCCGTGGAGCTCTCGGTGGAGTGCGAACAATGTCGTGTGATGTTACTGGAGGAGTTTGGGCTTCACGTAAAATGAGTTTTTGGTCTAGACCTGGAGCCTGAGCGAATGGGCCGCAAAGTTTGAGGTCCGTTATTTTTTGAACAAACAATGGGCTTAGCTAAGTGGTGTGGATGCCTGTAAGTACCTAACAACCCAACCCACGGCACTTATATTAAAGTGATTGTTTTTTTTTTTGGAATATATTAGAGTGATTGCTAAATTGCTAAGTTGACACCATCCCAGAATTCCTTTTTTTTTTTTAAAAATGAGACTTTATCATCGTACCATTGGACGTTGGTGCTTCGCTTGATAAATAAAAACACTGACAAAATGGTCGGCAAAGGAGTACAACGAGAATTAGGTTATCCGAAACATTTTGCGAATCACTCCTAAAAAACATTGTTGCCATACTTAGGAGAGAAAAACATATGATAAATGATAGGACACGGGCGTCCGTCCGTCCGGACACTGCACACCCACTCCGCCTCGGTGTTGTCGCGCTTCCCCCGCTACGCGCCCCATCCCACGCCGCTCGCTCCTCACCCTCGCCCATCGTGCCCCACCGCCGCCTCTCGCTCCTCGCTCAGGACGCACACTCGCCCTCTCGTGCACCCCTTCGAATGGTATCTCTCTTGTTCTTCGTTTCTCTGCCTTGCGTCCACCATGGTTGAGGAGAGCAGAGCTACGAGTTGTCGCACCACTACGCTCCTCGCGCCTCGCTATGCCTCCTCGCCGTCGTCCGATTTTGGCCACTCGCCGGTGTCGCTGGCTGGCCAAGCCAACCCCATAGCAACCGCATAGGCGCCGGGAACCGCATAGGCGCCGGGTGCCGCATGTGGCTAGGCGGACAAGAGAGGGGGCCGTCGCTAGCCGGGCCCAGTCCAGGCGTAGGAGCAGTTGGCCGCTGCCAGACTATGCCACCATCCTTGGCCATCGGCTAGCCGGAACCAACCGTTCCCCCACTCTGCTCTGCGTCGTCCCGAAAAAGGGTGAAAAACGTATGTTGCATGCGTATGTTTTAAGTGTTTCAGATGTTTCTGATGTACGTTACAAGTGTTTCATATAGATGTTGCAAAAGTAGATCGGATGTTGCATATGTTGCAATGGCTATACACGTATGTTGCAAGCGTCTATTCAAAATGTTTCATATGTTTTTTCCAGACGTGTGTTGCAAGTGTATTTATTTGGATGTTGCATATGTTTCACATATATGTTGCAAGTGTTTTATCTGAATGTTGCATATGTTTTGCAATGGCTATTCACGTGTTTTAAGTGTTTTTGCAAGTATTTCAGATGCATGTTTTAAGTGTATCATCTGTCTTTAGACGCATATTGCAAATGTTTCATCTGGATGTTTCAAAAGTAGATCGGGTGTTGCACATGTTGTAATGGCGCCGGTGGCTGGCGGACAGTGGCCTACCGCAAGACTTTGGCTCCTACATTACGCGGCGCGCCTCTCCCTCCCCTCCCTTCCCTTCCTTCCATCTCGCCGTGGCAGTTCAAACTCAACCAGGACGCGGAGTTCGTCGGCGATGGAGCGGGATGGGACGCGGGGCGCGGGGCCATGGGCGTGGATGGACGTAGGCGGGGCTCATTTCTGTATTTCGGGCGAGGCGCTGGAGGGGTGTCCGGACGCACCGTCCGTCCGAACCTCCATCCGTCCAGGGGCTAAAAACATAGGCAATGCCAATATGGCATGTTTAGTTGCCTCTATTTAGTTCGAAAGTGGGCATCAATTTATGTAAACAAAATCTATTTTCTATCGAATAAAAAAGACAATGTTGTTATTATTATTATCATATCTTTGGTAAAGACTCTGCCATTGTGTCGGTGTTTCGAGTAAACACCAACGAGTAAATTTCTAATATTACGCGTCTGGCTCGGATGGTGTGCTAAGAGGACACGAGGTTTATACTAGTTTGGGTAGAATATCCATACGTCTAGTTCGTAGCTGTTGCTCGTGTTACTAGCATTGAAAGTTTGTAGTAGGGATTACAAACGGGCGAGAGAGGGACATGTCCTAAGTCTCTGATGGAAAGAATGAATGGGTGCCGAAAGCTCGGTCGCTGCTCGGCTGTGTGTTTGTGTGTTGTGATTGGTTCGGCCTTCGAGTCCCCTCCGTGGGACGCCCTGCTCTCCCTTTTATAGGCCAACGGAAAGCACGAGTTACAGTGTGATAGAACCACCCAATTTATACAAGATCAAGTACGGCTGTCCCCGCTAACACGTTGACATACCCATACTTTCACTCATATAAACCCGGTAGTCCGCCGAGTGCCACGAATGACCTCGGTAAATCAACATCACAACCAAGATCGCGTGATTAAGCAAATACACATCACATACGCAGAGTTGCAGCGGAAATAATATTACAAATGGGTTCACAAGTAATAACACAAGTTTGGGTTTCAAAACCGATTTGTGAAAACAACATAGCTTTCAAATGATTACATTAATATAAGTTTCAAATACATTGCTAGCATAAGTGACATCCTCAGACAAAAGCATATAGATGAGAAATAAATATAAAGTCACCGAGCCCACCGGCGGTTAGCCACCATCTTCAACAGGTCGAGAACTTCACCTGCAACAAGGTGGGATAAACCCTGAGTACTCGAATGTACTCAGCTAGACTTACCCGTCGTAAACTAGAAATAAAGTGACACCAAGGATTATGCAAGGCTTTATTTGGTGGAGCTGAGCTGACAACCTTTTTGCATAAAAGCTGGAGTAATCATTAGCATTATCCACCTATACTAGCAATGACTTTTAGCCATTCCCTACCATCTATATTAGCACATGTACTAATCAATCACTTAATTAAGTTGCAAACAATAATAACCATATCAGGTATTTCATGGCTCATAATCATAATAATCATCATCATCATCATTTAACCATATCTTTAAATTTAGTGAATCTACCTTGCCGCTGCTCAGTCAAGTTCTCACTATCCGGGAGAGACGGCGATTCGAATCGATTCCTATCCAGCTGGAGGGGTATTCCTAACACTCACCCAATCCACCTGATCAATGGTTTCCTCGGGTCACCTTGGTACAACTCAGGAATCGCGGTTCTGAGCAGCGTCGCACCCTCAGGGAGTCCACTCTGCCAGGTGGTCAATCTCACCTCGGACTTACGCCAATAGCTCCCCGCACATCCTTACTACCGCCAGGGTGCGCACTTTCACTTCCCAGACTTCCAGCCTGAATTGAGCTACTCGGCTTCACGGTCGGAACGAGTTATTCGGCCAACTAAGTGATAAGCATGCATTCAACATGACATGAGGACGTACAGCGAATCGGTCCTTAAACGACACAGACGGGGATAGATTCACACCCAAGACCTCCATGCCTTGTTGCTGCACTACCGTCATCCCGTCCGGTCTCTTTTCATTATTAACACATGGTTCTTTTTCATGATAGCAAATATAGCCAACCGTGACCAGAGCTCATCCTACATCTCGCAGGTGATAGGAAATCACCCGACTTCTACCAGTCTAAGCATAGCTAAGCATCATTCGATCCTACACTTAATTAGGATTCATAGGATTTTATCTGGACAAGGTAAGGATATAATGCAACAATTGGTTCCAACCAATTCCTATACTTAATGCATCATCAACAATAAAAGATACTCAAGATATTTGTAAAAACATGGGAGACTTAGAATACTCCGGGGCTTGCCTGAGATCCGACACAAGTCAGTTCAGTTAGCTTGCACCGTCCTGGTGACATCTCAGGTCCTAGCACTCGCTTAGTCCTTCCATCTTCGGGATAGATCCTGCATACACCGTCTTCGGGTTTGGCTCCAACATCACGTCCTTCACGTGGTTCATCTAGCGCACCTAGATGAGATGCAAGATGCATGTGTATGAATGTGATGAATGGTAACACAAGATGCATCATATAAGCATTTAAGACAAACACAAGATTATGCAAGACATAGACACCAATAGCTATTTAACTAACATCACACAACCTATCATGCTAAGATGGCAAAGAAGACGACAACACCAAGC